ACCCCAAATCCAGTGCAAAGCACAAACAACCACTTTTGCGCGTCACAGACATGACCGCGGCATGTTTCTGTTTTTCGTAATTAATTTCATTTAACTTTTTTGATGAACAAATGATTTTTATTAATGTATTTTTTTCCAGCTTTCCACTCGGTGGCCCCTCAATATTACAACAATTTCATTTGTAGCATATTTTCCATTATTTGCTTCCTTACATGCAATCTCGCTTGAGGGTCATTTGAATATTTGAATGCGAGGTCATTACTTCCGGTGAGCATTTAGAGCGCAGCGTGCATATTTTCACCTTCATTTTTGGCAGTCATTGGCGTACTGGAGCGTTCTCCAGCGTTCAGATAGTGAAATGTTGATTTGTAAACAGATTAATGAGTTTTTACTTCTTTCCACTGAGTTTCGAGTTTCGGGTTTCGGGTTTTTTACTTTATTTTTTAATTTAATTTTGTTACGCTATGATTTCTGTTACACATTGAATGCCATTTGCATTTAAACTGCACAATTTCAGGAACTGTCAATGCGGCGGATGTGGAACCATTTTTTCTATTTCATTCGTTTTTATTTCTCCCGATGCTTTCTGTGTCACGTGTCTGTTTACTTAAATTAGAAAATGTCCTGCATGCATGTGCAGGAGCATGAGCTTGTGTGTTTGTGCAATTTATCTAACCGTGTAATGTGTAAATGTGTAAATGTGTAAATGTTCATGTTTTTAAGTTGTTGTGTCTTTCTGTCGTTCCGTCGGTTTGAGGTCCTTTACATGCAATCGTAATTTGTTTTCATTAAGTTAACGTTTGTATTTGTCCTTACTGACATGCATTTTGTTCAGGCTCGCCTGCGTGCGTTGAGAGGTTAATAAATGTCATTCGAAACGTATAATTCAATTAATTATTTTGCTCGTTTTTCACTAAGAATGTAAAAATATTATATGTAGTTTAATTTTGATAAATGTTCCATAACAATTTGTAAAGTGAATATAATTTTTAATGACAACATTGCCTTTATATGGTATGTTTTATGAATATTTTATATTTGTTTCTATAGTCATTAAGTCGAAGCGATAGAGTCATTTTTATACTTTTAAAAACCATTGCAAATTTTTTGAACACCCATTATTACTTTTTAATAGTCTGTACCAAAAAACATTATTGTTTTCTCTCGGTTTAAGGTTTGAGGTCCTTCTTTACGTGCAATAAAATAGCCAACAAAAGTTACAAGGGGAGCAATTAACCCAACTATCTATAAATCTACAAAGGTGTTTTTTTGTCTAATTTCATTTGTAATTAATCGAATTCGAAACAGTCGTTTTTTCTTTCAGTTATGTTTTATTTCTAAAGCTTAATTTAATATTCTAAGTATTCTAAATTTATAGCTTCTTGAGGTGATAGTAAGTGTATATAATAATATAGCAGGTTCAAGCTGATTTTGTTCATAGTACTGAATAAAAAGGAAAACCAGGAGAAGTCGTTATTTTTTTCGGCTTTGATCGTACACTGATCTTTTCATCTATGTACGTACCAATGCTATTCTTGTGGTACCACAATGGGCCATTATTTTAGCTCAGGAAGGCTTTTTGGAAACAAGTCTACTACTCCAACCTACCTACCTACCTACTGAATGGAAAGGTCCTAACAAAATGTTTGAGAAACAAACTGTGGTAATAACTTCACAGTAATTATAAAGAATTTAATACACTGTAATTATCAACTTCACTAATAATATAGCACGTTCAAGTTAAATCGGCTTATTATCATAAAATTAAAGGATTGAAAAATAAACTATATGGTCTATTACAACTTCTCGGCGGTCTCAACAGAATTTTGCTGAAATTTCGAAACCGCCGATCATTCTTATTTATGTCTCAGCAGAATTTGGCTGAAGTTTCGGAACCGCCGATCATTCTCATTTATTACATAATGTCATCGAGAGAGCGCACAGTGTCTCCCAATTACAATTAGATAATCATTATTCTGAATTTTCTGGAAGAAATTATTCCTTAATCTAATTTTGGAGATGGGTTTTCTTATGAACATATTTTAATCGATACTTCGAAACCCTTTCGACTCTGTGAGATGGGAGACCAGAAAAGACAAATTGCTTTAAAACTTATACAATTTAAATAACACTACAACCATAATATATATCAAGGTCTGCTAAAATGATCGATTTCGGATAACTTTGATAAAAACACATATTAAGTAGAGTATACAAAAGCCAGTTGACAATGATGTATATTTTCTTATGTTGCAGTTCTAATGCTATGTTTTTATAGTCTCATGATAAGACTCTACCCAGTATAAGGAAGACAAATAAACTTAAATAAAGAAATTATTGTTGTAAAAAATAAGTTACATTAAAAGTTTCTTAATTGTAAGTCTTTACTAATTTTAACGAAATTACCTGTAAATGTATTTACATTGACATATTTGCACAAGTACAATATTTATTCTTCTTTCAGCCATTTCTAAGGATATCCGGTAAAATTGTACGTTAATTCAGGCATAATGAACAATTTAGCTCATTACAAAATAATTTAAGTTGAAGTTCAACTTTTGAATGAGCATTATACCTAAAACTCACACTGGAAACACACAGATACACACGCAGACATGGACGGATAAGGACAAAAGCAAACATATGCATAATTCGCACTAGCGGTACGTGAAGGATTTCGTTTCCACATACATAAATGCCAGCATATGTCGTGTTTAAGCACACATGTACGATTGCATTGTTCGCTGAATCCAAAGGATTTATCTGCCAAATGTCAACTCGAGAGAAATTTATATTCCTTTGGTGCTAAAAAGACCGCTTTTACGCGCATATGAGACACACTGAATTACACCAAGTGTCGCCAAAATAATCCATGCATCCTTCAAGCATCCGCTTCAGTTTACGTACAAAGTAATGCACTACGTTTTATTGGAGGCGAAAGTGAAACATGGGAAATCTGCTAAATTATTTTTATATATTCAGAGACTGAGTATTTGGAACAATGAACAATACGGTTCCACTTAAGATACTAAGAAGCTTAAGACTTGAGATATTTGAATAAACTGAAATATGTTAATGACAATAAAATTTCTCATTTAGGTACGTTTTTATTCAATTTTTTTAAGGAAGTATCCTTGGCAAAAGGAATAATTATATATATTTGAATTTAAAGTTAAAAGTGATTATAAAATTTTTGATATATATGTTTCAAATATATGTATGTATATGTATAAATACATCTAAAAGTCTTCTTTAAATGATATAAGTTTAAAATAAATTATTTAAACTTATGAAAATTATGTTGTCAAAAAGTCAAAATTATAACAGATTTTTTCCAAAAAATTCCGAGGGTTGGAATAAATCAGTATTTGGAATTTATATAGTCTAACAGTCGATAAACAGTTTGACAAAGTAGTTTTCAAAAAATCCTTTTTTGTGGCATCCAAAGCTTGTCAAACATAGAAAAACTCTTTCAGTTTCTTTTTCCTTCTAGGTTTTCACAACTTTTCAATTGACTATTATAATGAATGCTCAGTTTATCTACCTAGAGTTCATTACAGAACTCGACCGAAATATCTTCAGATAAGCTAGTAGTATCAAAATGACTGCATGTATGAGTTTCCCAGATACCAGAATTTTTCTGATGTTATTATAAGAATAACTGTAATAATAACATGGAATTAGGTGCCTCTTTTAATAGTCTCTAGAGAACTAAAACTGGTGCTGATAGAGAGGCATCCATTCCAACAAAGTCTGCCATTCTATTTGTTTGGTCATTCTCTATACAGATCGTACGACGATTTTTGAACTATATTCTCTGAACAGATTCGATGTAATGGTGATCAATTAAAGAAACTTAATTGTCAGTTGGTTGTTGCTTATAAGGAGTAACCCATCACCGTTCTTTCACGTACTTTACTATTAAACAAAATGCCCTCTTGTCCCTAAGACAAATGTCACTTTTAGATTGGATTTATTACGTGGTCAAAGAGAATAATTTATGTTTATGATTGGCAAGAATATTCTTTTATCTATTATGCACTCCATACTAGAACAATACTTACAGATTGAAAAATAGTAATATCTTATAGTAATATTGACTAAACTCTTTGTTAGAAGTTATACATCAACCTCACACATTAAATATAAGGCTAAATAAATTGATGGCGTCCTCTATATGTAATTCGGAACTATGTCAAAAACCCGAATGTACTTATATATGTGTACTCCTCAGTAGTCTATTATTTTCAGTTTCATACTACAGTTGTAAGTTAAATCGTTTATTTATCTAGTTTCAAATTTGAGACGATATTTTTTATTGTCTTTAATTGGAACATTCACACTTTTCCGCTTTCTATAAAATTGTTTTGAAATTTGAAAGCGATGAAATTGTTTCCTGGCAACAATCTAATCCTAAACCAAAAAATCTGCAACCCAAAAAATGTGGTATAGAAGTACATTTTTTTTTTCTTCCTTCTACTTTTCAAACACAGCAAAAAATAGAGAGCCAAGTATTATATTCAATAGGGATTTAACTTATTCGCGGATTTTTCAGAGAAAAGAGGATGTAAGAGAAAAGAAATCTGAAAAAATGGGAAATGCACCTTTTAAATTCATCCACGTCAGCGTGATTTGCCTTTGAAGTGTTAAATCGAGTAACTTGAGTCAGATTTGTTTAATGCGCTTTATTAGAAATGAAAAAGGTAAGTGGCTGTGTGGGATTAAAAGACTAAAAAAAACCACTTTTTTATTAGAGTTTCTTTGTATATAAAAATTATTTTAGAATAAATTTTTTTGGTGTTAATATACCATATATTTTACAGATAA